CTTATTTTCTGCAGGTTAATTCTATATGGATGGTACAATTTTAAGATTTGGGGAGTTGAAGGGAGTAGGGGAATTGATTGAACAAGTTAAGGGGTTTTCGTATTCAGTTTTTTCTCTTCATGGTGCAAGCCCTTTCCTTCCAACATCAGATGGTGATGTGCAAGAGAAGCATAATGAATCAATAACAACTACTTAGAAGAGCAAGAAGTCATGATGGAGAGTTTTGAAATATTAAGTATTAGTAGTTATGAACATTCTTTTAGATACTTTTCTCTTTTTCATATTTTTCTTAATATTTTATATTTTTTTTTATAATAGAACCAATAAATTTGTATATAATAAAATCAATATTTTATATTTTCTTTTGAATTTTTATTTTTTGAAATATTTTATGAAATTTTTTTTTTAAAAAAATTAGACCAATAGATAGCGCTTGTTTAAATAAGCACTATCTATTGTCAGACACCAATAGATAGCGCTTTTTTTCGAAGCGCTATCTATTAATAGATAGCGCCATCATAGATAGCGCTTAAAAGACGCTATCTATGATAAAAAAAAGCGCTATCTATGCACTTTTTTGTAGTAGTGTTATCATAACTCATATTATAACATTGTATCAATAAAAACAAAGAAGTTGGTCACAGATTAATAAATACATACAATGATTAATAATACAACACTTATTTTACTTCCTATTTTAATTAAGTGTTTAAATGCATGATAACTATTCTGTTCTAGTAGTGTTTCTTATACTTGACTCATCAGTTTTTGACACGCGAAATTAATAAGAACCCTTAAGATGTGGGTTTCCAAGGTAGTACTTTTTGTTCTAAGTGTTTGATATAAGATTCTATAAAATCTTCCTAATGTTATGTCCATTCTTTTTTTTTTCTGTTATAGGAAAAAGAGCAAAGTAAAAAAGTAAAAAACAACGTATGTATTTCAGCTATTATGATTTATCCTTGGTAATAACTATATAGCTTTAGAGTTTTAAATATTGTGCTACATATTGTTAGTGCTACTTAATGCACTCATCCAATAACATTTTTCATTAATCTAAACATGATTGTTCTATAACATGCATAATTGTTCTCTCCTCATATAATAATAACTATTGTAGTGTTTTTATACATTCTAGTACACATTGGTACTAGTATGAATAGGAGAATGTAACATAAGGAAATTTCTGTCTTAACCATTCCCAAGCTTTTAACTGGACATATAAAATACTTTATCAACATCTAACTTTCATTAGTTAAACATCATCTTATTCTTTTGTCTCCATATGTTCCAAATGATTGATATCTAAACTAACCTCTAAGTCATATTCTTTTTCCATACAATTTAAATAGGTGAAAGTGTTGAACTTGGTGCTTAGGTTCATTATGGTGTCTGTTCACACGAACCCATCTATCATGCATGTTTCAAACTTTGTAAGATACAAGTTTCTTCTTTGTCATTATATAACGGACATATAATGTCAATTGCTGCTACCTCCTACTAGTCAGCTTTGTCCCTCTTGATACCTTACCTAGCAATACCTTCCACGTGAAATGTTGTGTAATTGGTAAAACTTTTATTTTCCAAAAGGTATTAAAGTATCAATGTCTTTCCCATTAAAAATTTTTCTTCATTTTCGTATATCTGGATCTTACTGATTGGTCAAAGATATAGAAGGATAGCTCAGGAAAACCACAACCCGATATACAGAACGGATTAACCAGTGTCATGGTTTGTATGACCCCTCTTAACTATTTAGTCAAAACCTCTTACTCGGATTAAGAAAGTAAAAACATGCTTAAGCAACATTGGACCTCAACTCGGCCAGCCCTATTCAAAGGCCCAATACGAAAACTATAAATATAGGTAACAATTGCATTTATTGAGCATTTAAGACTTAACTATAAATAAAGGTAGGTGATTGCATTTATTGAGCATTTAAGACTTAACAATTATAACCGATCGATAACTTAATACTAACTTGAGTGTCGAAGTGTCTCTAACATGTATCCACCGCTCAGGCTTGGACTGTGTAAAAGGAAGAATTACAGATAAGAGGAACTCGAGAGGATTGAGAAGAGGCACAAAGGTAAATTGAAATTGTGAAGGTGTACGTCTCGACCCTACATACCGAAACATGTGTACCATACAGACCGACCGGTGTAATTTTACCGATCGATCAAAGATATAGAAAGATAGCTCAGAAAAACCACAACCCGATATACCGAATAGATTAACTAGTTTCATGGTTTGTACGACCCCCTTAGCTGTTCAGTCGAAACCTCTTACTCGAATTAAGAAAGTAAAAACATGCTTAAGCAACATTGGGCCTCAATTGAGCCAACCCTATTCAAAGGCCTAATATGAAAACTATACGCATTTAATATTTAACGATTATAACCAATCAGTAACTTAATACTAACTTGAACGTCAGAGTGTTTTTAACAAGTATCGCAAAGATAAATTGAAATTGTGAAGATGTATGTCTCGGCCCTACGTATCGAAAGACACTCCATATCTTCTTCTTTCCAAACTTAGGTATAATCACATTCCTTATCAAATGATATGTGTGTTATCTCTTGCAGTAATATATTTTTCTTGGATTCTTTGCCACTCAAATCTCTTTCTTCTCCATGCCAAACACCATTTCCTCCTATCAGTATTCCTCCTTTCTAATTCTTTAATTGTTTTTCCTTTATCTTTTGAAATCCCATATAACCCATTTATCCTTCTAGAATTTTATCTTATTACCTAATCCAACTTTCCACGTAACATTACTATAAACCAATTCTCTTTTTGTCCCTTCCTACAGACTTCGTGCTTAAATCTATCCACCACCAAAATTCATATTTTTTGTTTCTAGTACCATTTAAGTTTCTCCAAAAAAGTCATACTAAGACTCTAAAATGTCCTTCCATAACCCTTCTTCCTTATCCTTCCATGATCTTGTCCCTTATAATTTTCTATTGTTTCATGTTCTTATTGTGGTCCCTGCTTCGAACCTTAATTTCGTTGAATTGTCCAAATAAAGAGACATTATCGGAAGAAGATCTGGTAGTTGAAATTCCAAAAACTGACTAAGTCTATCTTTCCGCCTATTGTCACTATTCATATTTTGTTCTCTCATAAAATTTTATGGTTCACACTCATTCAATCTCAATAATTGAAAGCAAGCAAAAAGATGTGAAATAAACACCACTATTTCATGCTCTTAAACAAATGGCATTGACTTAATTTGAAATAGAAAGAATTTCCGAAAGGGTATTTCTTAGGAAGAATTCAACAATGTTTGAGGGAGAAAGATGTTTCAGCAAATTATACAAGAAGAAAAATAAATGGTACTATAAAAAAATTTTGGCAACAAAAACATCAAAGTTAAAAAGTGAGCTTAGGAAACAAACACTTGGATTTGAACAGGGAATTTGTTTTAGAAATAGAAAACTACAAAAAAATAACTATATAATTTCTTCACAAACCCAAATTAGCGTATATATATATATATATATATATAAATAATTTTTTTTGAAACCAAGGATGGGATTAATGCACATAAAACTTTCATTTAGAAATATTATTTGAATTTTCTTCTTGTTTTAAAGTATTTATGAAGAACCTTATTAATACACTTGCTCAAAGTGAAACCCAAATGAAGAGATGCCTGCATTGCTATCTGCCTTCTTCGCTAGGGCACAATGGAGGGCATGAATGGTTCAAAATCCTTCAAATCTGACACCAAGCTAGGCTCGAATGGCTTGTAATCTGTGAGATCACTTGATGTTTTACTTTCTTTGGGAAATTCTTGTTTTACAGTTAAGGTTGGTGAGCTATTAGGGGTTCATAAACAGAATCATGATCAGAATTCAAAAGATAAGATTCCCAATTGGAAGAATCTGTTGAGTTTGTCACAATCTCGGAGATGGCATTGCATGTGTGAGAGCCAATGTAAGTAGTTTGATACATCTGAGGATACTGTTCATCCCTCTGCACTTGTTTCGTTGCTTTGCAACCTTTATCATACCTATGACTGCACCTGAAGTAACCCCTACAAGACATTATATTATACAAGAACAATGTGAGTTTGATTGACCAATAGAATCTGAGTAACTAGGTATAAAGTCATTACATATGACAAGATATTATGTCAGATAGAAAACATAACAGATTGGTCTAGATGTGTTAAGGTTTCTGTTGGAATCAATGATCGATGTGAAGTTTTACATAGAATATAGTTTTTTCAACTAGCAATTTTCTAATTGCTGAGTATGTTAGTGACCATTCTAAGTTGTGTGGGTGAGAAAATATGGTAATGATAATATGAGATAATGCAAGAAAAACTGAATGAAAATACCATAAGAAAGAGGACGATGATTTGTAATATTTTCTAAAACATGGTAGACACTAGTGACATCAATGAAATATACTATACTATTTCATTAGATGTACTTCAACCTATTTTCTCTTTCAAAATAAGACATCCATCACCAATAAAATAGGATAGTAAGCAAAATAAAAAAACCTATATTATGCAAAATAGTTTGACTACAATAAAACAAATTAGATATTATCTCATATCATATTATGCTTAGATGAGATACAAACCTAATGTTTTAAAAATTTCGGTTGAAATATTTTTAATATTCATGTGCATTCATTATTTCTGATATATATATATATATATATATATATATATATGTATATATGAATGAATGAATATTGTCATTTATAATACAAAAAAGAAATAAACAAAATATAAATATGTGATGTTTATTGTGAGACCATAAAAACAAATTAAGAGTCCTACTTAAACACAATCTTAACATTCCACTAAAAATTAATGAGTAATTTTATATTTTGTATTACAATAATAACATACTAAAAAGGAATTAAGGACCGTATTAGGTTCTTATAGTCGCATTAGAATAATAACATTCTATATATATGTCAATTTTTTCTGATAGGTCTTCCACTTACACAACATGTTTTGACTGTAGTTTCTACTTTTGAAATGAATAATTAAGAAACTCAAAAAAGATCAGTTTGCAGTAAATTTCTATGATGTGTGTTTTGTATAAAAATCTATCACCACTTTTCTGAGATGTAAGGGAACAAATGAATTAATACATCTAATAACTAAACAAAATGACATTTACAAATATTCAACTTAATTACTACATATAAATAATCATATTTATCCCAAAATTATATATCTCCATTGAAAATAAAAATTGAAAGTTTATAAGTTAAAAAGAGATAGATAAGTGTAGCGGTGTGTATAGCAATATAGTAAATATAGGTTCTAGAAGAGATACACTTTGGAGATGGGGCAAGACGCATCACTTAGCATTGATAAAGAATTATGTTCTATGTTCTTAGAGATTATACTACACACAATAAACCTTTTGATTATTTTTATAGATTGTTCTCACAAGTAGGAATTGTTAGTTTTAGTTTTTAGGAATTTTATTTTCTCGAAATTTTTAAAAATTTGCATCATAACTTAACTTCGCTCTTATATTCAAATTTTAGGAACTTCAATATATATTATAATTGTTAAAACTTGAGTTTTGGTAGTATCTTGGTCAAACATGAGTTGAATTTGCTTAACTTTAGCAAACATTTCATTGTAGTTAACTTCTGATTGTTTGTATCTAGTCTTATTCTTATTTGTCATGCTATTTAGATTGAGCTTTGTTTGTAAACCATGTACAAAGCTAACTGATCGAGTTTGATTTTATAAAATTATCATTTCTATAAACACACTCCTCTTCTCTTCCTTTGTATTTTTTCTAGATTTTTGACTAATTTATTCATACTTTTGAAGATCAATGCGAACTATATGAGTCCTCATCCTATCTAAATAAAGTATAAATCAGGATAAGTTCATCCTTACATTTTTCTTGAGTATGCCTTTTGTGGGTAAACTGAATTACATGTGACTCTTATGGATTCAAGATGAATCTCTCATGTCAATGATCAATATGATGTGTTTAGATCATTGATATAAGTTTTCCTTTATATTGATAGAATATCCTATGAGAGTTCCAGGAGCTTGCGAGAGAAAGAGCTAAGTTCAAGTAAAGGAAGCTAGCTGTTTTATTTTTTATTTGTAAGGTTGGCTGATTTTTTGTTATGTGAATTGCATGTTTTTTATGAGAAGTGATAATGTTGGTTGTTTGTTATTTATGGTTGATTTGACAAATCAAATTATTCATTATGGTTGAAATTTTATTGTTAAAATTTGATTTATGGGATGTTTGATTTGTTTAGCAAATTTACACCTTTGAAATGTATTAACTCAATCAAGTGGTTCTATTGGAGATAAATTGTTTAAACTGAATGTATATCAATTTTGCATAAAAAAGGAATAAAAACACTTAAATAGACCAAATGAAGAATTTGACCATGTTAATGATTAATATGATGCGTTTAGATCATTAATCTAAGGTTTCCTTTATGTAGATAGAACATCTTTGTGAGAATTTGAGTTTGTGGGACTTGATAGAGAAAGAGCTCAAGTTTAAGTAAGAGAAGTTAGTTGTTTTATTTTTCATTTGTGAGGTTGGCTGATTTTTTATTATGTGAATATTGCATGTTTGTGATGAGATGTGATAATGTTCGATGTTTGTTGTTTGTTGTTGATTGAAGAATCATATTATTTATTATGGTTGATTTTTTTTTTGTTAAAATTTGATTTATGAGATGTTTGATTTGTTAAGTAACTTTACACCTTTGAAATGTATTAGCTCAATCAAGGGGTATTAGAGGTAAATTTTTTAAACTGAATGTATATCAATTTTGCATAAAAAATGAATTAAAACACCTAAATAGATCAAAGGATAATTTGATCATGTTAATGATCAATATGATGTGTTTAGATAATTGATCTAAGTAGATAGAACATTCTGTATGAATTCGAGTTTATGGAGCTTGATAAAGAAAGAGTTCAAGTTCAGGTACGATAAGTTAACTGTTTTATTTTTCATTTGTGAGGTTGACTGATTTTTTTTGTTGTGTGAATTGTATGTTTGTGATGGGATGTGATAATGTTGGTTGTTTGTGACTGATTTTTCAAATCAAATTATTCATTATTGTTGAAATTGTTTTGTTAAAATTTGATTTATGGGATGTTTGATTTGTTGAAAAAATTTACATGCCTTTGAAATGTTTTAGATCAATCAAGTGATTTTATTGGAAGTAAATTTTTTAAGCTGACTGTATATCAATTTTGCATAAAAAATGAATAAAAATACATGAATAAGTAGAGGGATAATTTGATATAGTTAAAGAGTTTATGCAATTGTGTAGAGAAAGCTTTACACTATCATCTAAATCATAGGATGATTAAGTTTAGATTTACTTGGCCTACGGTATCTTATTTTAGAACTAGATGATATTCATTGAAAGGTTAAGAAGAGATAAACCCTTTGAAGCTAATAATACTAAAGTGATATACTTGTCATTTTTTCTAAGTAGAGCATACGATACTTGTCAAACAATCTACTTGTTGGATGAGCCGTCAGTAATAATAAATTTCTAAAGAGAGTTGATATTTTGGTGGTGATAGTTGATGGAGATTCACATATCTTGGAGGGGCAGTACAAAAAAGGACCATGTACTTTTGTGGATGATATAGCAATTTACCCTAACATAAGAGAAATATTTAGTTTCTAAAATGTGAGGTTGTAAAGAGTCAAAACTTAAACCATAATAAACTTAAAGGCCATGTGATAAGTGTAAGATCCCAAAATCTAATTCAACACACAAGTCTTCCAATAGTAATTGTCAGTATTGATTTATATATGGTTTGTTAAATGATCTAGCGTGGTTGATGAATGATATGTTAAAGTATATGAGGTCTTAACTTGTGTTATTTTAGAAATGATACTTTATTTAAAATATGCTACCTTGCTCTTTTGTTATGGTTTACATATGCTATGATTATGTGTTACATCAAAGAGATGATAGTACAAAGGAGTGCTAAAAACAATAAGGAGACTAAGATTTGTTTCTTTTTGTAGAGATTTTTGTATATGTATATCTTGTTTATATTCCTTTATACAATATGACATTTCTAAATTTATTTTGAAATTTTTATTTAAAAGAATTGTAAATATATTTATACTTATAGAAATTACCTACAAATGTGATATGCTTAATTAAACGAGTTATACTAATATGATTCCAATGAAATGTGTTACAGCAAGGATTATTCTTTTGAATCATTTTAATTTATTCCTTAATTGTCTTGATCCTATTTTCTCTCTTTGTTAAATCTTCATAGTGTTCAAATTCAAACATTGCCACATTGCATGTTCATATATATCCACGAAGGATCTTATAAACACATCATAGAATAGTCTCTTAGGAAGAATCTAGTTGTTATGTAGGTCATAAAGGTGTATTTGGATCTTTTATCATTTCTTGAACTTCTTCTTTAATATCATAAAAGACTTTTGATTTTTTTCCCTTAATGAAGTATAACTCTTTATTCTACACAAATCATCAATGAAAAAGATAATTCATATTATTATTTAAGTATGTCCTCATTTATCGATAGATGTTATGTAGATTAATTCTAATAATTTTTTTGTTTTCCATGCTTTATTAGTTGAAAATGATAATTTATGTGACTTTTGTAGGAGATGACCTTTATAAGCTTCATTATTTTCTATATTTTTATTTTTGGATTAATTCCGATAACTATCTTGTTCTCATTGCTTTGTCAAGTAAAAATAGTGATATATGTTACTTTTCAAGGAAACATATCCTTATGAGGCTTCATTATTTTCTTTAAAGAATGACAATCCTCCTTTCATGTTCTTTTAATATAAATTCTTCAAAGCTTAGGTGCTGAAATGATCACATTTTTTATGTCAATGTCATGAATAATTAATTTGGACTTTCATCAATATCCATAGTATATATGAAGTTTATAGGAAACTTATATTTGTTCTATTCATTTTAAATTCACTAATCTCTCGTCTTTTGTTGTTAGATTCAATAAGTATTTTCGGTGAAGAGTATATTTGTTAAACATCATTTGGACAATTTTTCTTTAAGATTAGAAATAGGTTCCACATCTTTCATGAGTCTTACAACTTTCTTTGTTCTCACCACATCAATATTGTTTCTCAATCAAACTTTCACTTTGACATAGTCATCGGTATTCCTGAAAATGTTATTGTCTTTGATAATATGATTATTGCATCCACTATTCAAGTACCAATTTTCACTTACTTCATCGCTATAATCTCAAGTTGCACAAAAAAGACGTTCATGTTTTTCAGTTTAATTTGCTTTATAGTTATTTTTGTTTCAATGTCCAAATTTTTGTATTGTTAAGATTGTGACTTTATGTAATACTAACCATCTGTTTCCAATTATCTTGATTTCTTAAAGATGTTACATGGAGAATAATTATCTTGATTGAACTTGGAAAAACTTTTAGAGTTTTCTTTATTTCGAGACATGTCTCACTTCATTCTCTTTATTCATATCTTAATTTGAATTTTGATTAAAAATCATTTTCAATTTAGTTATTATATATGAAATATGGACTGAGTGGTTATTGAATAAGGTCGATCGATCTATCCGCCATTGGTCAACCTGGTCAAATGGTTTGGGCCATAATTGGGCTTACAACGCTAATAAGCTACTTCAAATGGTAATTGGGCCAGTGCTTAAGTGGTTACTAGGCCAATAGTCCAGTGAATGATAAAATAATTAAAGATATCTAGTTAAAGATATTTGATAAACCAAATCCAAAATATTTGGTTGAAGATATTGATAAAGTCGTTTATGGTTAACTAATCGAATCTCCAAGTAAGGTTGTTTTTATTTGATCTATGAAACACTTATAAATACATTGACAGGGCCAAAAGCTAGGTACGTTCCACTTACGCATTATTCACCCTCCACTACTCTTAATACTCAAACAGTGCTAACCATTCACTGAGTATTTGATTAAGAGCTAAAGCTCTTCAACAACACGCCTAACTTGAGCATCATAATGCCTTTTTCAGGTACATCCCCCCTCATCAAGAAGGAGACCGATCGGTCAACATCAGGAGATTGAAAGTGATCGAGCGGTTCAGGTTGGAGAAAGGAAGGCGATCTAGGCATTTGGACACAAGAAAGACGAACGTGCGATCTATATTGCGGGAGAGCGAGCATTCGGTTTACTTTGCAGAAGAGCCAGAGAGCGAGCGACAAAGTCATCCAGGAGCGGTAAAGTCACATGTCTCGATCCCACAAAAATATCTACCAAAACATTTTGGATTTGGTTTATCAAATATCTTTAACCAGATATCTTTAATTATTTTATCATCCACTGGACTATTGGCCCAGTAACCACTTAAGCACTAGCCCAATTACCATTTGAAGTAGCTTATTAGTGTGGTAGGCCCAATTACGACCTAAACATTTGACCAGGTTGACCAATTGCAGATAGACCGATCGACTTTATTCAATAACCGCTTGGTCCATATTTCATACGATACAGTTATCATCTCATTTTTTCAATTTTTGTTCATATACTTCAATAGAGTTTATTAGTTTTGTCATTGACAATACAATCAAATATTTTGTTAATTTATAGTCCCATCATTTTTTTATTTATGTAAATTAAAAATTAGAATTATTTTGATAAATTTGTTCTAACCAATATTCTTTTCACATATCCTTATCTGATGGACTATTTTTTTTAATTTTATTTTATAATATTAATCTTTAATGATTTGAGACTCTATATAAGAACTCAAATTCGCGTCTTAGTGCTTGAAATTTAATAGTGTATCTTTATACTTCCTCAAAACTCTTCTAGTAGTGTGCTCGAGGCCTCTTTAGTACTAGTTACATATTCTTAGAATTGTTGCATCCATCCCTCCTTGTTGTAAAAGATATATCACACCCTCGGATCTTTTTACTTATTTTCCTCCAACTTCTCCCTTTTATCTTTTATTGATGTGTATATATATATATATATATATATATAATGTATTCATTTTAATATTTAAGTAATCATAGTTTGAAACTTGTAAAAGAATAGATGAATTGGTTAAGAAATTTTTAGGATTGACACGAGATGTGGTAGGAAAGTATTTGAAAGTAATTGGATATTATATCTACACCGACGTAGGCCATCACTATTAGAACTTAGAATTTTAAGACAAGTTTACTCTGTATGTATAATAATATATATAATAAATATATAGAATACAGAAAAGTCATTATAAACAGTACATAACGCAGAACAATTTTGTATAAGATAATAATTAAGTTGATGGAAAAATAAATTTTATTAAATTTTGATGAAGATATGCATACATCATTAAATTTTATTAAATTAATTGTTATTTTCTTTAACTTTCTAAAAATTTTCAACATAATTTAACACGAAAGAATGATTAAAAAAAAAATATACCTAGGGAATTCAGAATTCAGAATTTTCTTTTGTCCATACTTCCTCCAGGCATGATTGTCATCAGTAGTGTAAGATAGCTCAGTCCATGTGAGGAGACTCTTTCTGCACAAGTCCAATTCATTCATGAATTAGTTAATATATACACACACACATATATATATATATATATATATATATATATATATATATATCATATCCACACTGTAAAGTTCATCCCTCAGAAATTAGAACAAACAAGAAACCCTTTTGGATCTGAACCTACCATCAACATATATATAGGAATAGGAATATTATAATTCTGCAGAAATTCTAGTATCTATATATACAACATACATAACCTAAAATTTTTAAGTTCTTTTCATAAACCAAAAAGTTCAGTCATGTCAAGCATAACACACCCAATGTCCGTACATTCGTACGCATCCCAATTCATCAAATCCCTCGGTGATTATCCTAATAAGCAACCGGAGAAGGGTTCTTGTGCCAGTAACGGAACAATAAAACCCTTTGGCACTGAAAGAAAACACACTACATATATATATATATATATATATATATATAGAGAGAGAGAGAGAGAGAGAGAGAGAGAGAGAGAGAGAGAGAGAGAGAGAGAGATTGGTGAGAAAGAGAATATGACATGTTAACCTTCTGTTGTAGCGACCTCTCCCACCCTTTTTGGATCTCTTCTCACTGCAATCTCCAGATGTCGGACAGTTGCCGGAACGGGGAACAGACGGCCCATTTTCGCCGGAAAACAGGAGATTCCGATGAGCCAGCCCATCTGCAGAAGCAGGTGCCAAAGGGGAAGAATTGATAATAGTAAGAGCTTGTGTGAAAGATCTGAGCACCTTGGCTATGAGGTGATGAGAAGAGAGAGAGGGTTCAGTCCCAAAGGGGTTCTGAAGCAGAAGTCTTAGTTCAGTAGCAGCTTCATGGCCCTTAACAAGATCTTCCATTATCTCTCTCTTCTTCTGGGCTGAGACACTTTCGCTTTCAGGGCAAAGATTCTTTTTCATTTTCTGTAAGCCTGAGGTTGTAGCTTTGGTTTTTGTTGATGTTTTTGTTCTATCTTTGGTTTGATCGTTTTGTTTTGTTTTGGTTGATTTTGCATAGCAAGAAGTAGATAAGGGGTAGAGAAAGAGAGATAACATTAAATGAACTTTATGGAAACCACAATTGATGTGAAATAATCAGAAAGTCTCCAATGAAATTAAAGAATATTATTTTCTACAGATAAAATTGACATCTATTATCATTAAGTCACAAAAAAAGAGAATAACAAAAAAAAGTAGAAACCATCATTTTCAGTTTGTTTTTATAGAAAAAAAAATGTTATTAATGGAAAGAAAAATTATATTTTAAATCACACCAATGTTTTGAAGGAAAAAATAATAATGTGATGAATTTTTAAAATCGACTAGTGAAATATTATATTCACACGTCTCTCAAGATTTGATGATTAAATTCATGCGTATAAAATTATAGATTTTTTATGTTTAAAAAGTATATAAAATAACTATTTTTCTAGTCTTTTCATAATATAAATATATTTTCTCTCCCACTTGAACGGATAAATTTGAAGTGAATAAACCCTAACTTTTCTCTCCTTTTTGTCTTCTTTTAACTGAAATAATATTTTCTTTGCTCTTTTCCGCATTTTCTCTCATTTCAGTCCAACCAGTGAAGTGTTGAATTTCGAAGCCACAAATGTGGATTTTTGAGTGTAAGATTAGTGTACTGTACAAATAAAATATATGATTATAATCAAAGTAGAATAATTAATATTTTTATAAGTAAAAAATTATTATTATATATTAAATTTAAATGTTGCCGTTGAAGTAACTTGCTTTATTAATATTTTATTAATCTGATACATCTAATTTGGACGCATTACATAATAAGACCAATTAATGCTTGACTGCCGTAAATAACTAGGGATGACGTATGGTTGTGACGTTTAGATGACGTTAGATATTTTTTTAAAAAATGTTTTTTTAGCAACTTTTACGTTATATATTAAAAAGTTATTAGAAAGAAAAGCTATTAAGTCTTTTTAAAATAAAAAGAAACATAAAGGAATAAATGAGAGTGTTTATGTAATAAACCAGGAACAAAAATAAACATAGTTTTATTCACGTAACGAAACTTATTCATCGAAGACCTCATGGAAAACTGTCGGGAATATTCGGTTCGAATCTGATTTTAATATGAATTTTGCGAACCGAAAGAATCAGGGTAAAACTGATAGCAAATAAATTAATTGTAACACTCTAACGAACCTTAATAACAATTTTTATTTTCTGAATACCAATAACCAAAGTTCCGTTGAAAATGTCACTTTATCTAAAAATAATCCCCTGTGACAACTCCTCCACCCTACGAAAAACTCACCGTCAACATCAACCACCGTGAAATGGACTGCACCAGAAAAACCTGGAGATGTCGTCAACCACTGCTCTATCTCTTATGCTTTCTTCTCACTTTGTAATATAACCGAAGTTCAAAATGAGAACTTTCACTTCACTATCATCCCAAATTCCAACCACAAAATTTAAGCTTTGGTTAATGCAATGGCTCAACTCTGCCAAAACCATTGATCATCTAAAACAAACCCATACTCTTTTTCTCAAACTCCTCCATCGACACCCACCCCATCATTATCATTACTACATGGGTCGTTTGTTATACCGAGTTCTCCAGTTCCATGGCGAAGACGCCAATCTTTGTTATGCCCACCAACTGTTTGATACAATGCCAAACTGTTCTAATGGCTTCCTTTGCACCTCCCTCATTCGTGCATTCGTATCCCATCGTGCCCATCTTCTCCATTGCATTTCTACCTATGCTAGAATGCATCAAAATGCGATTTTGCCTTCCGTGCTCACCTTCTCTTCAGTACTTAGCGCGTGTGGGCGAGGCCCGGCTTTGTTTGAAGGAACACAAGTGCATGCCAGAGTGGTGCAGTCGGGGTTTCTTGGAAACAAGGTTGTGCAAACTGCACTCCTGGACATGTATGGAAAATCTGGCTGTATAAGTGATGCACGCAACGTGTTTGATAGGATGGATGACAGGGATGTTGTTGCTTGGACGGCGATGATTTGTGGGTATGCCAAAGTAGGAATGATGGTTGATGCACGGTGGCTCTTTGATAACATGGGAGAACGCAATTGTTTTACTTGGACTACCATGGTTGTTGGATATACAAATTGTGAAGACATGAAAGCTGCTAAGGAATTGTATGATGTAATGAGTGAAAAGAATGAGATCACTTGGTTTTCAATGATAGCAGGTTATGGTAAGTTAGGTAACGTGGAGGAAGCAAGAAGAGTATTTGATGGAATACCTGCGCCGCAGTCTGCATCTGCTTGTGCATCGATGCTTGCTTGTTATGCACAGAATGGATACGCAAAGGAAGCTATTTACATGTATGAGCAAATGAGAGAAGAAGGGATCAAAATCACTGAGGTAGCAATGGTGGGGGCTATGTCAGCTTGTGCACAACTGAGGGACATTAGAATGTCAAACACTCTAACAGACCATCTTGAAGAGGGTTGCTGTGGTAAGTCCTTCTGTTATTGGTTGTCTGTTGTTATTATTCTGTCAATTCTACCCATTTAGGTAAAGAATGTTTCACGTACTGACCTGGAACCCGTTGTTATTTTATCTCAGATAGAACACATGTTGTTTCCAATGCATTGATCCATATGCACTCAAAATGTGGAAACATAAACTTAGCACTGAAAGAATTCAGTATAATGAGATACAGGGATATGTATGCCTACAGTACAATGATTGCTGCCTTTGCTGAGCATGGAAAATCTCGAGATGCTATAAACCTTTTCTTTAAAATGCAAAAGGAGGGATTAAAGCCAAACCCAGTCACATTCATCGGTGTCCTCAATGCTTGTAGCTTTTCTGGTCTTGTTGAAGAAGGTTGTAGGATTTTCCAGATTATGACTGAGGTATTTGGTATTAAGCCCTTACCTCAGCACTATACTTGTATAGTTGATCTCCTTGGGAGGGCTGGGCAACTAGAAAGGGCGTATGATCTAATAAAGGAGAATGCAACCACTGCTGATGCAACAACTTGGAGCTCTTTATTAGCGGCTTGCAGGCTTTATGGCAATGTGGATTTGGGTGAGATTACTGCCAGACATCTCTTTGAGATTGACCCTGACGATTCTGGAAATTATGTGCTTCTAGCAAACACTTATGCATCAAAAGATAAATGGGAGCATGCACAAGAGGTTAAGAACGTGATTAGTGAAAAGGGAATGAAAAAACCTTCAGGGTATAGTTTCATTCAGTGAGCAATCAAGGAACACTATAAAGAAGAACCACTTTGATTAAGCAGTGTATCCTCTCAATCAGTAGAATGATGTTGTCGTGAACACTTTTGTATTGATCAACACTGTTGAAGGAGTAATTGCTGAATAAGCTTTGAATTCCCGGCTTTATTTTCTGAGACATGCATGTAAGATATCAATATCATCATGTAGGTGTATGACCATTTAGTCCTGAAGCCATTAAGCGAAGCTGCTAATCCATCTTAGAATAGGAACGAGTTTCATGTGGCTGTTGTGAAGTTATATTGGCCTCAAGGTGCAAAAATTTAGTTCCCTACGCTGCTGAATTTGTATGCTGGGGATGAGGATGAGGATGGGAGAGTATATGTCACAAAATGGGTCTCTATACAGGGCATTTACTAAAGATTTCACAGGGACAATGGTGGGGACAGGATCCACATTACTTTGAAATGCTGGTGTTGTTTTGGAGGGAGATGGAAATAAGGGTTCTGTGTGGGAGTTTTATTTGGATGCTTTGAGTAGTAATTATCAACAGACAGATATAAGGACAAATAAGATTCATAAGGGAAAGAAAACAGGAGGATCTTCTCCCTTAAAAAAAGGGATTACCGCCCAATGTGGGCATGCAAGGAACGGTAGAGGGCTTAGAGTACTCAACTCTTCTCAATCTGACTCAATGTTGGCAATAAAGCAGCAGCAAATATGTTTCTTACCTTCAGGAAGCTTCTTTTCCTCGTGTAGTATCTTTCTTCTGCCTATAATTTTGGATATCTCTCTGTGATTGTTGTAGTCTATTAATATTATGGTATATAGGTTGTTAAATAACTTCAAGGAAATGAAGATATCTATTGAAGAAGGTTCGAGAGGTTAGTAAAAGAAGAGTTATCCCTCAGAAGCCAAAATTCTTTGTTTATTATTGATAGAAGAAAGTATAGAAGGTGGAATCTCATGTTGGGCATGTCAATAAAAAAAAGATGACAAGTGAACCTTCACCCATACTCAGTGTAAGTTTTCGTACTAATAAAGTAATTGGCAAACTGCTTGAAAGCAGTCCTTGTACATAGGTTTTCTTATTTTTAGTTAGTTAAGTCTGATAAAAATTACCATATACTAAATTTGAAATGACAAAAAAATCTCTCTTTTTTTTATTCTTGGAAATATATATTTCTTGTCATCTACTTTATGAATTACATTTAAATTTCTTATGTTGTTTGTGTTTCTTTTATTTTTTTCCAAGTTAAATTTTTATTTGTTACTCTTTCTTTAGTGTCCAGTTTTATGTTTAACATTTATTACTTAAAATTCAAGTTGTTTGTTTGTTTAGTCATTTTTATAACTGTAATTTATTGCTTTAGTTTTTCCTAATCATTTTTTTAGTATAATGAGTAAGTAGATTATTATATGTTATCTGAAAAAAGTGAAATATGTTATATAAATATAAGGCTTAATTGTTTTTTCCCCCCACATTTAGAGTTTTGTGTATCGTCAGTACTCGCTTTTAAAAATGTCTCTATTGCGTCCCAACGTGATATAATTGTATCAATCAAGTCCCTTCCGTTGACAGAAAAGGATTTAACTTCGTAGTGACGTGACAAAAAAAGTGTCATTTTTTTCTCTCTTGTGTTACTCTGTGCAACTTAGACCCATCTCTTTCTCTCTCTTCTTCTGCTTCTCTTCAATTTTCTCACTCTTTCTTTTCCTTCATCTCC